CATCACTATGAAAAGCCATTTGATTATATCTGTAAGGGTTTATTTCTGGGCTCTCTATGCTATAACAATGGTCTCCATGTCTAGTTATGCCTATACCACATTGTTTTGATTACTATAGCTTTGTAATACTATTTTTCCTGCTTTTTTCTTGAGACAGGGTCTCACTCTGTTGCCCAGGCTGGAGTGCAATGGTGCGATCACAGCTCACTGCAGGATCAACTTCCTGGGCTCAAGGGATCCCTCCTACCTCAGCTCCTGAGTAGCTGGGACTACAGGTATGCACCACCATGCCGAGCTATTTTTTATTTTTATTTTTTGTAGAGATGAGATTAAGTCTCCTTAAGTTGCCCAAGCTGGTCTCAAACTCCTGGACTCAAGCAGTTTTCCTGAGTCAGCCTCCCGAATTGTTGGGATTACAGGCTAGTAACTTTTGACATCACAAAGTGTGAATTCTCCAACAATCTTTTTTTTTTTTTTTTACCTAAGTCTCGCTGTTGCCCAGACCAGAGGGCAATGGCATGATCTCGGCTCACCACCACAACCTCCACCTCCCAGGTTCAAACGATTCTCCTGCCTCAGCCTCCTGAGTAGCTGGGATTACAGAAGTCTGCCACTGTGCCTGGCTAATTTTTGTATTTTTAGTAGAGATGGGGTTTTGCCATATTGGCCAAGCTGGTCTCAAACTCCTGACCTCAAATGATCTACCTGCCTTGGCTTCACAGAGTGCTGCCATTACAGGCATGAGCCACCTTGCCCTACCCAACAAACTTCTTTTTCAAGATTGCTTTCACTGTATGGACTCCAGTAAGATTCCATATGCGTGTGGTCTTTTGTAACCTAAACTTCCGCAGTGACTTAATATGACTTTTGCCACATTCTGCTAGGCACAGAGATAAAGCCTGGTACAACGTGAGAGGACTACACAAAGGTATGACTATTGAGAAACAGGAATTATTGGGGGACAATTTGGAGGCTGTATACTACAGAGAAGAAATTGGCAATACCTGAAAACACTACCTGTGCAATCTGGAAACTTCTTTTTTTTAAAATTTTGAGACAGTCTCCCTCTGTTGCCCAGGCTGGTGTGCAATGGCGTGATCTGAACTCACTGCAACCTCCACTTCCTGGGTTCAAGCAACTCTTGTGCCTGTCTCCCTAGTAACTGGGACTACAGGAGCACACCACCACACTCGGTTTTTTGTTTTTGTTTTTTTTTTTTGAGATAGAGTCTCGCTTTGTCGCCCAGGCTGGAGTGCAGTGGCATGATCTTGGCTCACTGCAAGCTCCGCCTCCTGGGTTCACGCCATTCTCCTGCCTCACCCTCCGGAGTAGCTGGGACTACAGGCGCCCACCACCTCGCCTGGCTAATTTTTCATGTTTTTAGTAGAGATGGGGCTTCACCGTGTTAGCCAGGATGGTCTCAATCTCCTGACCTCGTGATCCACCCGCCTCGGCCTCCCAAAGTGCTGGGATTACAGGCGTGAGCCACCGCACCCAGCATATTTTTTCATTCTTTATTTTATAGAACCTCCTGTTTCCATTGTGTTTTCTTTTTACTTTTTTTTTTTTTTTGAGACGAAGTCTCACTCTGTCACCCGGGCTGGAGCAGTGGCACGATCTCAGCTCACTGCAACCTCCATCTCCGGGGTGCAAGCGATTCTCCTGCTTCAGCCTCCCAAGTAGCTGGGATTACAGGTGGCTGCCACTACACCCAGCTCATGTTTTCTATTTTTAGTAGAGAGGGTGTTTCACCATGTTGGCCAGGCTGGTCTCAAACTCCTGACCTTGTGATTTGCGTAACTCAGCCAGGCAGGACGCTGGGAGTATAGGTGAAGGGGGCCAGCCCCTACACACCTGTGGGTGTTTATCGTCAGGTGGGACAAGAGACTGAGAAAATAAATAAGACACAAAGTATAGAGAAAGAACAATGGACCCAGGGGACCGGCACTCAGCATCTGGAGGACCCGCACCAGCACTGGTCTCTCAGTTCCCTCAGTATTTATTGATTACCATTTTCACTATCTCAGCAAGGGGAATGCGGGAGGAGAATAGGGTGATAGTGGGGAGAAGGTCAGCAAGAAAACATGTGAGCAAAGGAATCTGTGTCACAAATAAGTTCAAGGGAAGGTACTATGCCTGGATGGGCACGTAGGCCAGATTTATGCTTCTCTCCACCCAAATATCTCAGTGTAGTAAAGAATAACAGAGCAGCGTTGCCGCCAGCATGTCTCGCCTCTATCCACAACGCAGTTTTCTCCTATCTCAGAATAGAACAAATGTACAATCGAGTTTTATACCAAGACATTTCATTCCCAGGGGCATGCAGGAGACGGAGGCCTTCCTCTTTTACTAATCCTCCTCAGCACAGACCCTTCATGGATGTCAAGCTGGGGGACAGTCAGGTCTTTCCCATCCCACGAGGCCATATCTCAGGCTGTCTCAGTGGGGAGAAATGTTGGACAACACCCGGCTTTCCTGGGCAGAGGTCCCTGTGGCTTTTCGCAGTGCATGGTGCCCCTGGTTAATCGAGAATGGAGAATGGCGATGACTTTTACCCAGCATACTGCCTGTAAACATACTGTTAACAAGGTACATCCTGCACAGCCCTAGATCCCTTAAACCTTGATTCCATACAAAATATGTTTCTGTGAGCACAAGGTTGGAGCTAAAGTTACAGATTAACAGCATCTCAAGGCAAAACAATTGTTCAGGGTACAGATCAAAATGGAGTTTCTTATGTCTTCCTTTTCTACATAGACACAGTAACAGTCTGATCTCTCTTTTCCCTACAATAGGCATGAGCAACTGCGCATGGCCACATTTTCAATCAAATAATACTTTTCTATATAAATCTTGATTTTTTTTTTTTGTCCTCATTAAGTATGTATTTCCGGCTGGGCACGTTGGCTCATGCCTGTAATCCCAGCACTTTGGGAGGCCAATATGGGAGGATCGTTTGAGGCCAGGAGTTGGAGACCAGCCTGAGCAACACAGCAAAAACTTTTTTTAAAAAAATTCCTTTCAAGGCCGGGCGCGGTGGCCACATTCTGCTAGGCACAGAGATAAAGCCTGGTACAACGTGAGAGGACTACACAAAGGTATGACTATTGAGAAACAGGAATTATTGGGGGACAATTTGGAGGCTGTATACTACAGAGAAGAAATTGGCAATACCTGAAAACACTACCTGTGCAATCTGGAAACTTCTTTTTTTTAAAATTTTGAGACAGTCTCCCTCTGTTGCCCAGGCTGGTGTGCAATGGCGTGATCTGAACTCACTGCAACCTCCACTTCCTGGGTTCAAGCAACTCTTGTGCCTGTCTCCCTAGTAACTGGGACTACAGGAGCACACCACCACACTCGGTTTTTTGTTTTTGTTTTTTTTTTTTGAGATAGAGTCTCGCTTTGTCGCCCAGGCTGGAGTGCAGTGGCATGATCTTGGCTCACTGCAAGCTCCGCCTCCCGGGTTCACGCCATTCTCCTGCCTCACCCTCCGGAGTAGCTGGGACTACAGGCGCCCACCACCTCGCCTGGCTAATTTTTCATTTCACCGTGTTAGCCAGGATGGTCTCCATCTCCTGACCTCATGATCCACCCGCCTCGGCCTCCCAAAGTGCTGGGATTACAGGCGTGAGCCACCACGCCCGGCCTAATTTTTTTTAATTTTTAGTAAAGACAGGGTTTGGCCATGTTGCCCAGCCTGGTCTCAAACTCCTGAGCTCAGGCAATCCTCCCACCCCAAAGTGTTGGGATTACAAGCGTGAACCACCATGCCCGACCTTTTTCTTTTTTTGAGAAAGTTTTGCTGTGTCCCCCAGGCTGGAATATGCAGTGGCACAATCTGGGCTACCTGCAGCATCCACCTGTCAGGTTCAAGCAATGCTCCCACCTCAACCTCCAGAGTAGCTGGGGACTACAGGCATGAGCCACAACACCCGGCTGATTTTTGCATATTTTTTAGAGATGAGTTCACCTTGTTACTCAGGCTGCTCTCAAACTAAGGAGCTCAAAGTGCTGGGGTTACAGGCACGGGCCACTATGCCTGGCCTTGCAATTCTGCTTTTTCTTTCTTTTTTTTTTTGAGATGGAGTTTCGCTCTTGTTGCCCAGGCTGGAGTGCAATGGCACGATCTTGGCTCACCCCAACCTCCGCTTCCCGGGTTCAAGGGATTCTCTTGCCTCAGCCTCCCAAGTAGCTGGGAATACAGGCATGTGTCACCACGCCCTGCTAATTTTTTGTATTTTTAGTAGAGATGGGGTTTCACCATGTTGGCCATGCTGGTCTCAAACTCCTGACCTCAAGTAATCCACCTGCCTTGGCCTCCCAAGTACTGGGATTACAGGCATGAGTCACTGTGCCCAGCCACAATCCTACTTTTAAGAATTTTTTTTTTTAAACCAGGTCCAGGATTCAGTCTAAACTTCTAAGAATCTGCCTTGAAGGTAAACCTTTAACAATTCAAAGAAGTTCAAGAGTATTAATTGCAGCACTGTTTGTGATTGCAATATGAATGCCTAAATGCTCTCAATTATTAGAGTATCTGAATATATGGTACATCCACCAATGGAATATCATGCAGCCCTAGAAATGAATGAAGATCTCTATGAACTCACATGAAGTGATTGCCAAGATACATGGTTAAGTAAAAATACAAACTCCGTCTCAAAAAAAAAAAAAAAATCTGTGTTTTTAACTTCAGTTATTTAAAATTAAAAGAATTTGTAAGCCATTTGGTCTGTGTTATTCTGTTATGGTTGCCTGAGCTAACTAAGGCAGATTTTGGCACTGAAAAGTGAGGTACTGCCATTACAAACAAACAAACAAAAAACTGAAAATGTGAAGCAGCTTTGAAATTGACAAATGAGTAGAGGCTATAAAAATTCCGATGTGCAAGCTGGAAATAATATTAGTAAGGGTGCTTCTGGTGAGGTGTCACTGGGGAATGAGGAACATTCTATTGGAAAATGAAGAAAAGACAACCCTTGATATGAAGTCGTGAAGAACTTGGCAGAACTGTATTCTAGCATTTTGTGGAAAGTAGAGCTTGAGAGAGATAAAATTGGGTATTTATCACTAACATCTGTAATTAAAGTGTTAAAGGACACAGGAAGCTTCATTCTTCCTGACTGCTTACAAGAAAATGCAAAAGAGAAGACCTGAACTGCAGAAGAAATATAAAAGAAAACAGAACCAGAACTTGGAAGATTTGGAAAATTCTCAGCCTATCCGTACTGCAAAAATTACAAAACTTGTACTGAAGAGAATCCTGAATGTGTGGCTGAACAATCATTTGATAAAGAGATCATCAGTGGGATTTATGGACTATATCAGCCATCTTAACAGAAGTGAGGAGAGAGACTGGATTATACTAGAAGAGACACTGCCACTTACACTGTGCCACCTAAAATGGACAGAGAAGACAGAACAGGTAAGGCTGTCACACTTCGTAGATTTTATAAGAAGGAGACACAGAAATAATCACTGTGAAAGTGCACTGGCAGTTAAGGATGGTTTCATACCTGCCATGCTCTGCAGGATCCGTGGGAACAGAAGATACCCTTGGAGGAGCATCTTACTAACAGGGGCTGGGACCAATCTAGATGACTTATCTCATACAGAACTTGTTAATGCTATGATCTTAGGAAACTAATCACTAATGTGAGGCAGCCTGCAGTACTGACCTCACCATCCATGACCCTTCTTCACAGATGCCCAGACTCAGGCAACCATGAAGTTGTATTCAGAACCTATAGGTTTAATTTCAGACCCTCAGGATGGCATCCAAAGCCAATCCATGAGACATTACAACCTCCACAAGGCATTTAGGACAAATCTGATTATCTTTAGTGTCACTGCCAATAATTAAAGATGGCAACCTATGAGCTAAATGGTAACACTCATACCCTTACTTTCATAGGGTTTCTCCCCAGTGTGAATTCTTTCATTTCAAGTCTACTTAGGTGTGAGGAAACAGCAAATGCTTTCCCACATTCTTTACATATGAAGGGTTTCTCTCCGGTATGAGTTCGCAGGTGAACATTAAGGGGTGAGGAATACATAAATGCTTTACCACATATCTTGCATACAAAGGGCCTTTTTCCACTGTGAGTTTTCAAATGTTTACTATGATCAGAAGTAATGAAGGTCTTCCCACATTCAATACATTCATAAGGCTTCTCTCCTGTGTGAATTCTTCTGTTGAGTAAGCGTTGAAGATCTATTGAAGGCTTTCCCACATTCCTTACACTGATAGGGTTTCTCTCCAGTGTGATTTCGTATGTGTATAGCAAGGCCTGTGTATTGAGTGAAGGCTTGGCCACATTCCTTACATTCATAGGGTTTTATTCCAGTGTGAGTTCTTACATGTTGAGTAAGGTGAGTTGATCTGGTGAAGGCTTTCCCACATTCTGTACATATGTGTGGTTTTATTCCAGTGTGAATCTGAATATGAACATTAAAGGATGAGGAATTTCTAAAGGATCTTCCACATTCTTTACATTCAAAGAACTTCTCTCCTTTATGAGTTTTCACATGTGCAGAAAGTTGAGAAAAATTAGTAGAGGATTTCCCACAATTCTTAGTCTTTTTAGATTTCTTTCCAGTATGAACTGTTACACACTCCTTTAGGTATGAGGAAGGTGTGATGGCTCTCTCACATTCCTGAAATTCACAGAGTTTCTGTCCAATGTGGATTCCCATGTGATTATCAAGGCTCACAAAATACTCAAAGCCTTTTTTACATTCCTTACGTTTGTAGGGTTGTCTTGCATTGAGAACTTCAAGATGTACAGCAAGGCCTGGAGTTAAGGTGAAGACTTTTCCACATGGATTAAATTTGGAAAGTTCCTGTCCAATAGAGGCTTCCTTGTCCACACTGAGGACGTCTTTTCCATAACAATTAACCTCAGAAGTGTTCCCTCCATTTTGAGCTCTCATGTGTGTCTTAAGGCAAAACTGTTCACTGAAGACCTCTCCACAATTCTCACAGAGTTTCCATCCACTGTAGTTTCTTGTCTGCTGAGGAGGGGATAAAGGATTTAAAATGTTTTCAGACATATTAAAAGATTTCACCCATCTGAACACGGAAACATTATTTTGGTGACAATTATCATTTTACTTTTTAATATTTAATTTTTTTTTCATTTCCTACCTTCTTGATTTCTTCCAGATTGAATGATGGATCTTTTGCTAGAATTTTATGCCACTGACTCTAAATTATTTAAAAAACAAAAACAAAACAAAACAAGAAAAACTGTCTTCTTTTAATTGTCGGGGATGGTTTCAGACAGGTTCTCACTCTGTCATCCAGGCTGGGTACCATGGCACAATCACAGTGCACTGCGGTCTTAATCTCCCAGGCTCAAGCCATCATCCTGCCTCAGTGCTCCAAGGAGCTTGGACTACAGTTGCATGCCAATGCACCCCGCTAATTTTTTATTTTTTGTAGAGACAGGATCTTCCTGTTGCCCAGGCTGGTCTCGATCTCCTAGACTCAAGCAATTCTCCTGCCTCAGCTTCCCAAAGTGCTGGGATTATAGGCGTCAGCCACTGTACCCAACCAAATAGTGTAGATTTTACATTTTTAGTAGAGACAGAGTTTCACCATGTTGACCAGGCTGGACTTAAACTCCTGACCTCAAGTGATCCACCCACCTCAACCTCCCATAGTATTGGGATTACAGGCATGAGCCACCACATCCAGCCTCTTTTTAAAATTAGAGATGGGATCTTGTTATACTGCCTAGGCTGGTCTCGAACTATTGGGCTCAAATGATCCTCTCAGCTTAGCCTCCCAAGTAGCTGGGATTACAGAAGTAAGTCATAGCTCTGATGATGCTATTTCCTAGAATGGAATTCTCAATCTTTTCTGAGAGGAAACTAAGAAATATCACTCATGAATCTTACCATCTGTATCCCATTGAATATTGGATTCTTCAAGAAACCCTGCTGAAGTGATGACCCTTTGATTCTAGGTTGTATTTCCCATTCTGAAGTTAAGCAGAAAAAGAAATATAAGGGTTTATAGAAGAAATGTTTAAAACGATGAGTCATTTGTATTTGTTTTCAAATTAAACACAGTAATAAAAGATAAGCCAGAGAACTTTGAGGATTTTGGCATGTCAAAAATTTGGCTATAAGGACGTGGGGTTTATTACACAACTGATGTGTTTAGATAGTTTACTACAAACTGCTTCTGTGAAAAATGAAACGATGGGGAACAGGAAGAGAAGATTATCAGGAAAGGAAAGTAGGAAAGATCGGGATAAATAATAGGTATCAAAATGATAAACTTAAAAAAAAAAGACAGAACAGGTAGTTTTGTTAGGTCATAGAAATGTATGACTACATGGAAAATAAAAGTCAGAGATATCTGAAATTCTGAGAAAAATAGCTTAAATCTTCTGAGGTAAAGTAGATCTTTAAAAATCTTTTTTTATTTTTATTTTTATTGTATTTTATTTTATTTTTTTGAGATGGAGTCTCACTCTCTCGCACAGGCTGGAGTGCAGTGATGCAACCTCGGCTCACTGCAACCTCTGCCTCTCAGGTTCAACTGATTCTACTGCCTCAGCCTCCCAAGTGGCTGGGACTACAGGGATGTGCCACCATACCCAGCTAATTTTCTGCATTTTTAGTAGAGAAGGGGATTCACTGTGTTAGCCAGGCTGGTCTTGATTTCTTGACCTCATGATCTGCCCACCTTGCCTTCCCAAAGTGCTGGGATTACAGGCGTGAGCCACCATGCCTGGCCTAGTCTTTATTTTTACGATTTTTTTTTTTTTTTTAGAGACGAAGTCTCACAATATTGTCCATGCTAGTATCAAACTCCCATGCTTAAGCACTTCTCTGACCTCAGCCTCCCAAGTATCTGGGACTACAGGTGCAGGCCACCATGCCAAGCAAAGTGATGTTACTCTTACCCACAGAGGCCAGATTCATGTAGTTCTCCAACATCACATCTCTGTAAAGGTATTTCTCAGCTGTGTCCAGTAAAGCCCACTCCTCTGGGGTGAACTCCACAGCCACATCATCAAACGTCACTGAATCCTAAGTCATCACACACATGCTAGTTTGAGCCAATGAACACTTCCACCAATGCTCACTGGAGAATGATGACGGGGAAACTTATACTCACTTATATGTGGTTCTGAGATCTCCCAAGATATACTCCAGGGTTTAATGTCTCAGGAACTCTTGTGTCTAAACAATCAAGGTGGACCTCCTACAGGCATATGCCTTGAACAGCACTTTTTAAATTTTTTTAAAAATCTTTTTTTGTTTGATCTATTTTTAATTTTTAAATATTTTTATTCTTAAATTTTAAATTTTTATTTTGATGAGAACAGTACTTCCTAAGCATGAATTTTTATCTATCTATCTATCCAATCTGTTTATTTATTTATATATAACGACAGGGTCCCACTGTGTCACACAGGCACAATTGCTGCTTACTGCAGCTTCGATCTCCTAGGCTGAAGTGCTCCTCCCACCTCTGCCTCCTGAGTAGTTGGAATTGCAGGCACGAGCCATTGCACACTGCTTACACTTTATCTCAGCACAACCAGGTTAGGAGCTCTTCCTGTCCCATTGGTCTCTATGCAGCACACTCCTGAGCACACTGTATATATCTGATAAATGCTGATAAGTGAATAACTTGATAAAAGGACACTTTCATCTGCTTTATCATCTGTCACCACACCCAGTAATGTAAAAAGATGCAGTTGGTACCATCAAGGTCAAGCTTAAGTAGTAATTACTGAGCTACTGGGATGATTTTCAAGTTAACACTTTATATACAGGAGACTTCATTTCCTGGGGAAATTCATCTGGGGACTCAGTCCTTGAGTAAGGCTTCATTTGCTCTAAGAAAACTCCGGAGGTGAGTCTGTCTAGAAGGAAATGTGTCTATTGGATGTAAGTATGTCATTTTGTATAACAGTACATTGTCTGTTTACCTGGTAAGAATTTGCCAGGTAGTCCTCCACCATCGTTCCTACCTTTGTCTTTTCTTCAAAAGGGCAGACTGGTTCCCTGGAAAAACACCTTAGTGGAAAAGTAAGAAGGCAATGAGAAGCCAGAGCTGCCCATCCTAACCACATTCTCATGCCTAGAAGTCATTCCATCCTAGCTTGAAATTCCCATATGCTCCTGCACACTCGAGAAAACTGTACACACACAACACTGCCATGAAATGCCATAGTAGTCCTGTGTCAGCTAGACCCAGAAAAGCAGATGTGGGCCGAGCTGCCTGTTGGGTAAAGGGTAATAGTTTCATTTTACAAGAAAACTTACACCCTGAAAAATGTGACTCTCTATCTGCCCATAGCAGTAACACTCACGAAGCTTATGTAGCATTTCCGAAGGCACACGAACCAGGGCTGAATTCTAAAACTGCATCCTGGCTGGGCACAGTGGCTCATGCCTGTAATCTCAACACTTTGGGAAGCCAACGTGGGCAAATCACTTGAGGTCAGGCATTCAAGACCAGCCTGGCCAACACGGCAAAACCCCATTTCTACTAAAAAAATAAAAATAAAAAAATAAAATAAAATAAAATTACAGGAGGCTGAGGTAGAGAATTGCTTGAACCAGGGAAGCAGAGGTTGCAGAGAGTTGAAGTCGTGCCACTGCACTACAGCCTGGGTAACAGAGTGAGACTCCATTTAACAAACAAACAAACAATATTAGCCAGACCTGGTGACACGTGCTTGTGGTCCCATCTACGTGGGAGACTGAGGCAAGAGAATTGCTTCAACCCAAAAGGCAGAGGTTGCAGTGAGCTGAGATTGCATCAATGCACTCCAACCTGGGTGACAGAGCAATATTCTGTCTCCAATAAATAAATAAATAAATAAAATAACATAAATAAATAATAAAACAAAATAGTATTCTACATCTCACTTTGATTCCTCCTAAAAGAACCACCAGTGGCCAGGTGTGGTGGCTCACACCTATAATCCCAACACTTTGGCAGGCCAAGGCGGGCAAATCACCTGAGGTCGGGAGTTCAAGATTAGCCTGACCAATATTAAGAAACGCATCTCTAATAAAAATACAAAATTAGCCTGTAATCTCAGCAACTAGGAAGGCTGAGGCAGGAGAATCGCTTGAACCCAGGAGGCAGAGGTTGCGTTGAGCCGAGATTGCGCCGTTGCACTCCAGCCTAGGCAACAAGAAACTCCGTCTCGAAAAAACCACCAAAGAAAAACCAGTGGCATGCCTGCTCAGGCCCAGCTCACTGGACTCTTACGTTGTGGAGTGTGACCTAAATCAGAATCTCTGAAAAAGAGCATCAACAAGGACTTACCATGGGACAATCAATGACTGCCATGCTCTGAAGCTGATGGCCTCAATGCTGTCTTCCTTGATGCCAGGCATGAGCCACTATGCCCAACCAGGATGCTGTTTGAGAATTCAGTCCTGGTTTGTGTGCCTTCAGAAACGCTACATAAGCTTCATGAGTGTTACTACTACGGGCAGATAGAGAGTCACATTTTTCAGGGTGTAAGTTTTCTTGTAAAACGAAACTATTACCCTTTACACAACAGGCAGCTCGGCCCACATCTGCTTTTCTGGGTGTAGCTGACACAGGACTACTACCTTTGTCTTTTCTTCAAAAGGGCATATTGGTTCCAGGAAAAAAACCCTAGTGGAAAAGTAAGTCACTTCAGGATAACTTACGAATCTAGCTCAATAGAGGCAATCTCCATTCCTCTTTGTATGGGTTATTTGAGGTCCTGTTCATATCAATCATCAAACAACAAGCATCAAACATCAGTCACTGAATATTATGCATGAGCTTTCTCTCTGCAGGTGACAGATGTGAAGGCCACCAAAAACTGTACTCAGTATCATCACTCAGTAATGATAGTATTAATAACAGCAACTGACATTTACTGAGGACTAGTGTGTCACAAGTGTCTCTAGTAGCTTTATATATACATGCTCAATTATCATAACCATCCTTCCCAATAGCTATCATTACCTCTATCTATCTACCGAGACAGGGTCTCACTCTGTTGCCCAGGTTGAAGTGCAACGGCACTAACACAGCTCTCTGTAGCCTAGACCTCCCAGGCTCAAGTGATCCTCCCACCTCAGTCTCCTGAATAGGTGGGACCACAGGTGTGCATCACCATGCCTTATTATAATTATATTATTATTATTGAGACACAGTCTCACTCTGTCACCCAGGCTGGAGTGCAATGGCACAATCTCAACTCATTGTAACCTCTGCCTCCCAGGTTCAAGCGATTATCAGGGCTCAGCCTCCTGAGTAGCTGGGATTAGAGCTATGCATCACGCCTGGCTAATTTTTGTATTTTTAGTAGAGACGGGGTTTCGCCATATCAGCCAGGTTGGTCTCAAACTCCTGGCCTCAAGTGATTCTCCCACTTCAGCCCCCAAAGTAACTGGGAATACAGGTGCACACCACTGTGTTGGGAAAACAAAGAGAGATCAGATTGTTACTGTGTCTATGTAGAAAAGGAAGACATAAGAAACTCCATTTTGATCTGTACCAAGAAAAATTGTTTCTTCTTTGAGATGCTGTTAACCTGTAACTTTAGCCCCAACCCTGTGCTCACAGAAACATGTGCTGTAATGAATCAAAGTTTAATGGATTTAGGGCTGTGCAGGATGTGCCTTGTTAACAATATGTTTGCAGTAAGTATGCTTGGTAAAAGTAATCGCCATTCTCCATTCTCTATTAAACAGGGGCACAATGTACTGAGGAAAGCCACAGGGACCTCTGCCCACAAAAGCCTGGGTATTGTCCAAGGTTTCCCCCTACTGAAACAGCCTGAGATAGGGCCTCATGGGAAAAGAAAGACTTTACCATCCCCCACCCCAACACCCATAAAGGGTCTGTGCTGAGGAGGAGTAGTGAAAGAGGGAGGCCTCTTTGCAGTTAAGAGGAAGACTTCTGTCTGCTTCTCCTCCCTGGGAATGGAATGTCTCGATGTAAAGCTTAGCATTCCCATTCATTCTATTCTGAGATAGGAGAAAACTGCCCTGTGGCTGGAGGTGAGATATGCTGGCAGCAATACTGCTCTGTTACTCTTTGCTACACTGAGATGTTTGGGTAAAGAGAAACATAAATCTAGCCTATGTGCACATCTAGGCACAGTACCTTTCCTTGAACTTATTCATGATACAGATTCCTTTGCTCGCATGTTTCCCTGCTGATCTTCTCCCCACCTGTTGCCCTGCTACACTCCTCTTGCTAAGATAGTAAAAATAATAATCAATAAATACTGAGGGAACTCACAGGCCAGCGCCAGTGCAGGTCCTCTGTATGCTGAGTGCCAGTCCCCTGGGCCCACTGTTCTTTCTCTATACTTTGTCTCTGTGTCTTATTTCTTTTCTCAGTCTCTCATCCCACCGGATGAGAAATATCCACAGGTGTGGAGGGGCTGGCCCCCTTCACCACTGGGTCTAATTTTTTATATTTTTAGTAGAGACAAGGTTTCACCAGGTTGCCCACGCTGGTCTCAAACTCCTGGGCTCAAACAATCCTCCTGCCTTGGCCTCCCAAAGTGCTGGGATAAGAAGCATGAGCCACCATGCCTGGCTCATTACTTCTATCTAATAATGAAAAAATCCTACATTCAAATAACCCTAATAATTAGTCTGATATTTGTCCTTGGAGCCTGATCTCCTGTGGATGCTGTTACTCCCCAATATGACCAGAAGGCAGTTCAGACCTGCACAGAACAATTCAGTAACTTCATTATGTACCTAAGATGACTGAAGCTGCAGGCGGGCAGATCACCTGCGGTAAGGAGTTCGAGACCATCCTGACAAACATGACAAAACATCGTCTCTATGGCAAAACCCTGCTTCACCATGTTGGCGAGGCTGGTCTCGAACCCCTGACCTCAGGTGATCCACCTGCCTCGGCTTCCCAAAGTGTTGGGATTACAGGCGTCAGCCAGCGCTTCTGGCCTGCCTTTCTTAAGTAGAAAGGCTTGTAGCTGGTAACAACTAGAAAACAAATAACGTCCAAGAAAATAAAAATTAAAAACTAAAGGCTTACAGTCTACACGTGTTCATATTTACATACAGAAACAGGCACACCTTCAACAACTGTTTTTTCCATCCAAATGTAATGTGTCAAAAATAAGTAAAGGACACCAAGACAATGCCAGATTCTCAGATGAGACATTTTTTAGCAAATAAAGGGAAGTCAGAGTCCTCTTGAAACCCGTTTAATGCTGGTGCTCACCAGGAACACGCCTGACGCGGGAGGATGCGGGGCCAGAGCCAACCTCACTAGAATGGCAGACATCCTTTTCCTTTCGGAAAGAAAGACATTCACAAAGGTTGCTTTCCAAGCTTTTGAAGAGGGGAGCACAGCGGACGAAAGCACTCCAGAAAACACCACGCAGACTCGGGACAAACACTTCCCGACGCGGCTCCTGACGTGGACCGACTGAGCCTGGGCCTTCAGGGAACTGGCCGCGCTGGGAGGACCAACAACCCCTGGAGAAGCTAGTGAAACAAGCAGGATCCGAGAGGCTCCTGGGCGACCGCGCCCAATCCTTCCTTTGCCGCATCCCCCACCTACACCCCCTCTATCTCCTGGACCCCCAAGCAGGCGGAACTCACCACAGCAGGGGTAGACTCCACCAGGATAAAGGCGAAACACCACTGACCAAAGGTAGCCAGCGCGGGAAAAGATGGTGGCGGCGCGCTGACATCACTTCCGCTAGGAGCCTCGGGAGGGGCGGAGCTTCCGGGATCCAGTTTCAGCCAGGTAGGACCAGGTTGTTAGAAATGCTTGTTCGATTACAGGGCTTGAGCCGACGCTGCCCGGCCCAAGGCGCTATTCTTTTAAGCATGG